GGATGAGCTTATATCTTTAAAAATGTCAATAGTTCACAAGATACATAGTAGTTTTTTATTTATGTATCTAGAGATACATAATTTTATTGTTTTGAAAGTAACTACAGATAATGAATTAATTTAAGTAATCCTGTATCTATATTTGTTATTTTTTTAGAATTTAAATTAATAGATGAATTGTTTGCAAACTTTATTCTCAGTGTTGAGTAAAGCTTCAGAAGATAAGTAAAAAAAATTCATAACAATAATGAATAAATTAATGCATTGTACAGTCTGGAAATAGATCGTAATCTCATGGGAATTGTTAAGTATAAAGATATGTATTCTTAAAAATAATAATAATAATAATAATAATAATAATCTCAGTGCTCTATTTGACTCGTTATGTTCGTTTTTAACTAGGTAACATAATAAAAATGTTGAAATTACTTTAATTAATTAAAAAAATTTTAGCTTGATTTCATAACTCTGCTTATTACAATTAATATAATTTATTATTATTACCATTGAAATAATTTTCATGAAAAAATAAGGACAAAGGATGGATAAAAAAAAAACAATAATTATTGAAAAAAAAATTTTTTTAATTATCAAGTTCGTACAAAAGTTTTGCTCTAAATTTAATTACCAAAACAACACTAATTAGTGTGTTTGTTATCAATTGGTTAATTACAAATCGAAGATTAAAAAAATGTAAAAAAGTATTTATAATTAATAGCTTTGATTAATTATAATAAACTTGTTTTATTTTATTTAAATAATTTTAAATTGTAATTCGTCAATTAAATTTGTTATTTTCTACCTAAAATAAATTATTGAATAAATACAAATAGTTTGCATCTACCTAAATTCAATATAATTTTGAGATTTTTATTTGGCTTTTATATATATCTATATTCATAAAATTATTAATTTTGAATAATAAAATAAGTATAAATAAAATAAAGTAATTTAAATTACTTAGTGAAATTTTTAATGTCCAAAATTATTCAATTAATTAATTAAAAACCTAGGAGAACAATTATTTAATATTTTCATACTATTCAAAGTATTTAAATTATAAAAAAAATATATTTGCATTGCTGTGTTCATGATCGTTAAGATAATACTTGTATTATTGTTTTTTTTTTTTTTTTTTAATTACGCACTATAATTTTATCGAAATAAAGTATCAAATTTTACATATAGTATATTTGAAATTCTAAATTTATCTATAAAAAATTACGTATGACTTATTTTAACGCTATTTGTATTCTTTATGTAGTTTCAGAAAAATCACAGGATATAAGTACGCGATCAATTTTTTATTTTTTTGATTATTTCAATTGTTAAATAGATCATTTTATCTTATATATTTTTAAATTAATTACTGTTGTATATAAAAGTAAAGCTCAATGATTATATATGATATATAAATTTTACAGTTCTTCATTATTTTTTTTTGTCATTCAATGTAAAGATTAAGATTCTTCTTTTAAATCAGATAAATTTTTAAAAAATTGCTATTTCACAGCAGAAAAAACATTTTGTAAAATTTATAATCAGACTACTTTCAAGCAGTGACAGTTAAAATAGTAGCAACCAGACTAAGCGTTGCACCAGTCATAAGTAGACTTCTCCACACTGCACCACTAACTTCTTCAGCGACTGGATATTCTATGCACAATTGTTCCTAAAAATTAAAACAAGCATTTTAAAAAATACAATTTACTTAATATTATCAATCATAATTAAGAAATGACCTTGTATCTTGTCAACTACTGACATTTTTAAAGATATAAGCTCATTCTGATGTTACACTCATCGAGACCTTTCATTTGAGTACCCACATCAATTTTTCATATATTTTATATATTTATATATATTATATATATATTTATATATGAAAAATATATCAAAAATGCATGTGGGTACTCAAATGAAAGCTCTTGATGAGTGTAACATCGGGATGAGCTTATATCTTTAAAAAATTTCAATAATTAAGAAATGACGTCATATTTTGTCTACTGATGATATTTTCTACGATATAAGCTCACCCTGACATTATACTCATTGAGACCTTTCATTTGAGTACCCACATCAATTTTTTATATATTTATATATATTATATATATGTATATATGAAAAATATATCAAAAATGCATGTGGGTACTCAAATGAAAGCTCTTGATGAGTATAACATCGGAATGAGCTTATATCTTTGAAAATATCAATAATTAACAAATGACCTTGTATCTGGTCATTTAATAATAACTGGTTGTTTTTTTTTAACAGTGTACTTTAAGTACAAACTTACCCATCCACCATAACCTTTGATGAAGTGTGCAATGGCTTCACCAATATACCTCGAGACATAGAGTGGTAATTTCTGCTTCAAAGCATGCATCCTACCATCTCTAGCCCAGAGAGCCAGTCTTCCCATAAAAGCATACAAGCAGACTATTTTAGCCCAAGTTATTTCGCCGTGCAAAAACAACTCATCGGCAACTCCCGTGAAAGCCTCGTACGCTGTATCAGGTACGACATTAAGCCGATTCACCATACTGGTAAACAGGATACTGTGTTTGTTCAACATCTGATAAACATTATGACGCATGCTGCGAGATATTGAGTCCCTGGATATTAGGTACATGTCTTCTTTGAGAAGATATCGTATGACATCATGTGCCAATATTTCTGCGGTCAGTTCGACATTGTCGTCGCAGATTCCGTATCGCGACGAAGGTGGTGCAAGATGTGGGAAAAAGTTTTGCAGTCGTATCTAAAAAAAACAACACTTGTTAGAATTATTTCCTTCACTAATTCAATTTTTAAAAATTTTTAAGCAATATCATACTGAAGTTAGCTGTCAATTTCAAAAATTCTTAATTTTTTTTTTCAATTGAAAAAACTAATTAAAAAAAAATTTCATTTGTTAAAAACTTAAAAAACTGTCAGTGCAATTAAAAAAAAAAAAATATTTTTTAGTTCTAATTTAATAAATTAAGAAAAATAAAAAATAAAAAATGTCGGTTAATTTTAGTATTGATAAAAATTAATTTAGCAGACATTCAATAATATTTTTAACAAATAAATTATGGTAAAAAATAATTAGAAAAAAAATTGACATGTAGAAATTTAAAAAATTAAAATATGCAATTTTTTTATAATATAATTTTTTGGAATGAAAATTAAATTAGCCATCTAAAAATTTTTAGAATTTTTTTCATTAAAAAAATTATTACAAAAAAACTAATTAATGGATAAAAAATTATAACACTAAAGTTAGTCGACGTTTTTAATTTTTTTAATTATTAAATTAAAACTAATAAATATTTTTTAAAAATTGCACTTAGAGTTTTTCGAGTTTTTTACAACTGAAAATTTTTTTTTATTTTGCAATAATTTTTTTAATAAAAAATTTTTAAATGTCAGCTAACTTAATTTTCATTAAAAAATTAAGAAATTAAAAACCTCGGCTAACTTTAGTATTGTTTTTTTTTTTTTTGGAACAAATTTATTAGTTAAAAAAAAATAGTCAAGTGACTGCTAACTTCACTGTCATTTAGCAACATGATAACTGATGAATAAAATTTTACCTGGCAAACTTCAATGAAAGACATCCCAGAGTTAGCTGGATTGACACCATAGCGGCAAACACCGTCCTCGTCGTCGTCGGTGTTCTCGTTGGCTTGGTCGCTCATACTCAGAGAATTCCTGTTACCGGGGGGATCGCATTCCAGAATGCCGCCCACTCTGGAATGCCGTTCCCCCCTTACCGACGCACCCTGCTCGACCCCCTCTCCAATTTCATTGTTCGTCGTACTGTCACCGGCCATCTCTTGATATAATTACCCAAATATATCAAATTTAATTCAAATAATAAATTTTTCGATGAATTTTTACGTCTGACCACAACTGGACGTCAAGTTATGTAATTAAAAATAAATAAATAAATAAATAAATAAATATAAATAAATATTTCTCCAGGAAGTGGTACAGTAAGCTAGCTAACCGTCAAACCGTTGGCTGACTGTGGGAAAATAAAGTCCAACACGATCACACACTTCACAGAAAAGAAAACCCTTCACCCTGGAGCTTCTGATACTCCAACTTCTACTTCTGATCTGACTTATCCTTTTTCTCGTGTCCAGTGTACACACACACACACAAATATTGTAATATTGCAAGTCTCGTTTCGTACACTTAAATATTCCTTTCCGAGAGCTCAGAGTAGCCGCCAGTACCGCAGCATCCCGGCGAAAAACCGCCTGCTCACGAGGAGATTATGCTCACAGTGAATAATGTGGAGGAAAAAATTTTATTTAAAAAAAAACTATTTTTTTCGCTCACCGCTCTCTACTTTCCCGCGGCCATTTCCGAAGCAGTAACCCCCACCATGCCGCCGTTTCCCACCGTCAGGTCTCTCAGTCTCTCTTACCAACAAGCTCGCTCTGTTGCTGACTGTTGCTGCTGCTGCTGCTGCCGCCACTACCACCGCGCTACACTGGAGGTTCTTGCTCATGCTTACTCCCTCTGCCAAGGGTATGACGTAGACTACACAATCACACCAGGTTCTATGGATCATTCAGGTTTTATCCCCACTTCTTATAAAATTCTGTATGTATGTCTGGCTGGATGGTAATGTGTTCTGTACTTACTGTTCCTATATATATAAATATATAAATATATATTTATATTCACAGGACAATGGACTACTTATTTCATTTAAGAATGTTAATTTTAATTATTAGCAATGAAAAACAGCTGTTATTTAATACTGAAGTTAGATAGCTGTCAATTTTTTGAGTTTTATAATAATTACAATTTGAAAAATGCTTCTAAAAAATTTTATTTCATTTTCACATGTGGAATTTTTTTATTAATAATTACATGACACTGACATTAAAATTTTTTTTATAATTTTACAACAATTAAATTAAATTATTGAATAAAAAAAATTTTGTTTTATTAAATAATAACTGTTGTTAAATTGCACTGTACTTTCTTAAATATTGACGCTTTTAAAGATATATAACCTCATCCTGATGTTACACGTATCAAGAGCTTTCATTTGAGTACCCACATGTATTTTTGATATATTTTCTATATTTATATATATATATATATAGAGAATTTTTGAATGCAGCCTAAATACTTGTCATAATAAATTGACTATCGGTGAGAATGATATGAAACTTTAAAAAGGCACTAATTCAAGTCAAGACCTTTGCAATGACACCAAATTTCACTAAAAAAACTGATTTTATCATATGACTATCCTGGACACAAAATTTTTCTTATATAAATTTAGAGCATTGCTCATTTTTGTCAAAATAAATTTTGTTTTCTCAGTACATTCTCAAGTGTTTATTATCAATTAAAAATTACTATTTTAATATAGTTATTCTTTTAATAAATTTTTAAATTATAATAAAAGATAAATTGGAGCAATTTTGTTGAAAATTAGTCCATTAAATCTCTTCAAATAATTAATCAAGCGGTAGACAAATCTATAAAAATAATTCTCTGTAAAAATGATGAGCTTATTAAACAAAATAATAAAACTAAAACCAGGAAATAGGTAAGTGTATACATATGCAAGATTGCATAAATATCTCGGAGATAAGTATACCATTTTCTACTTATAGCCCAAGAGTTTTTTAAACTTGTCTCGGTTGATTGTCGAGTATCCGGCTGTAGAACAATCATGAATGTACTACTCTACACGCAGAACCCGCAGTGGTGATGACGACGAGACTGCCCAGTCAAGAGAATGCATGAAAGTGCTACGGCGGGGTGGAGAGACCGGCAAATAACTCGGCTCCTTGAATGAAACTCTCCTCCGGGCTCCAGGTTGCATGTAGATGTGCCTTTTGCTTGCTTTATTCTATCCATTTGCTAAAAAATCACCTACAGACACACACACACACACACATACAGGCTCTCAGTAAGTAACATAACTACACATATTACATTTAAAACTAACAGTACAGGTTAGCGTACCTTACGTACTTATTATTATTATTATTATATGTGTGCTTACATACACATACAGCTGCATAATCAGCATGATCATCCAGTAATACATTCAAGGGAATACCACCATGTGAGGCGCCTCCAACCTCGTGAGACAAAATAATAGTACAAAGCACATGGAATCATTTATATGGTATCAATATTCTTCAGAATAAATTATTCTTCTTGATATCAAACAATTTTTTATACCCAATTAATTACAATAAAAAATGCCTTAAAAAATTTATACTTATAATTTTTCCATGTAAAATTTCTTCTTTAAATTTTTTTCATAATTTTATTGTTATAAAATTATAAAAAAATTTATAATGTCAGTTTATTTTTGACATCTTCAATTCTATTTTAATTAAATGTTATTTCTTCATTTCAAGTAACAAAAAATGAATTTTTTTTTAATATTTATACCCTATTAATTACAATAAAAATATTTTAAAAAATTTTCATTAATAATTTTTTTAAATTTTCACATCTGAAATTTCTTCATTAAATTTTTTTTTATAATAATTGCAAAGTTGCTAGTAAGAGAATAATTTGTTGAAAATAAAATTTCTTATGATAATAAATTTAGCAGATATTTAATAATTTTTAAATTTTCTCTTAGCAAATAAATTATGACAAAAAAAAAAATTGACATGTAGAAATTTTAAAAAATTAAAAATGCAATTTTTTTAAAATAATTTTTAGGAGCAAATTTTTTTGTTAAAAAAAATTAAAAAATTCTCTAGTGACTGTTAACTTTAATGTCATTAATTTCTTAGCTGAAACAATAAATTTTATCTCAGTATCTTTCTTGTTTAAAGAAAAATTAAAATAGAACAACTTGCAAATTTTTTTTTCCCAATCTGGAAAACTTTTCCAACAAAAAAGTTACTATAAAAATTAAAAAAATTGTTATTTATTCAGCTATAAATAAAATTTTCAATAAATTAATTACTTTTTTAAATAAATATTTTCTCTGTGTGTAATTGAAAAAATTTTTCAGGGAATTTCCAAGTTAATACAGTGAATCACATTCGGATGAATCATACAGTTCGGGATCCCGCGGGCAAGACGTAGGACGTGCGAAGTGAAAGTCGCACAGAATACCAATACACATTATTATGTACGTACATACATACGTACAGATGTACAGAATGAAATACACTACACAGACTACACTACATAAATGATCGTAGCGGTCACTGACATCCAAGTTCTCAGCATAGCATCTCATTCTGCTTGATACTCTTTATCCCCGATAATATAACTCGTACAGTATATCTCTATGGACCCCCGTATATTTTTATTTATAAATTAATTTAAATCAAAATATTCTTCAAACGCTTTTTTGGTATTGAATTAAATAATCCAACTTAAATAGCGTATGAAAAAAAATAAAATAATTTTTATATTTATAAATAAAACGATTACATTCTCTATTAGGATATACTTAAACTCAAGTATTAAGTTGGAATTGCAACGAAGATTGCGTTAAGGTATTGAGCGCTAAATTTCTTAGAAAGGAATTTGCAATGGCTGGAATCCAATCTCATATATATACATTAATATATTTTACAATGTGCCACATACATGCAAACATTGGAATAAAGTTGGTAAAATGCCTTGGTCTTGGTCTCCGGTCTCTTAAGAGTTAACTAGTGTTGTTACATTACGTAGCCATGGGTACAGCTCTCAAGTCTTGCGTCTTGCCATTCGTTTTTCACTGAACAACCTTCAAAGGCCACTCAGTGCTTCGATGAATGAAGTATAAGGAAAGTCATAGTGTTGTCGCGGCCGGATATATCTTTAAGGGGATTTCTTCATAAATTTATTTCAATTTTAATTGCTTTTTCATATTTATTATTTCGAATCACTTTGCCTAGACTTTGGATTTTTTATCAATATATAAAAAATTTATTAATTTTCAGGGTTTTTTTTATAAATTATTTAATCAATTTGTAGAAACCATATGTTCGCGTAGAATAATTTTTATTCATTTTCAAAGATAAAAAATAAAATTTCTTTTATTTTCTAGTTATTGAAAATCAAAAAAATAATTTTTGAATTTAAAAATTAATGGACAATTTAAATAAAATTTTTAAAAGTCTAGAATTTTTTTAAGACTTTTAAATGTTTATTTTAAAATATAAGAAAATTTTTTATTTAAGCTTCGTAACTTTCACAGCTAAAAGTTATTATTACTAACAACCTTGCAGTCACTATGTGAGTTATGAACTATAAATAAATGAAATTTTGCTTTATTAAGTAATAACTTGTTAAATTGCACTGTACTTTTTCAACTATCGACAGTTTTAATGATATAAGCTCATCCTGATGTTACACTTATCAAGAGGTTTCATTTGAGTACCCACATGCGTTTTTGATATATTTTTCATACATACATATATATAATATATATTTCAAAGATATAAGCTCATCCCGATGTTACACTCATCAAGTGCTTTCATTCGAGTACCCACATGCATTTTTTATATATTTTTCATATATATAATATATATAAAATATATGGAAAATTGATGTGGGTACTCAAATGAAAGGTCTTGATGAGTGTAACATCAGGATGAGTTTATATCTTTAAAAATGTCAATAGTTCACAAGATACGAGGTCATTTTTTAATTATGTATCTAGAGATATTCACAAAATTTTCCTTAAAAATATAGATTTTCAATAAAAAAAAAAATAATTCAGTTAATAAATTAAAGAAGAAACTTTTTAATTTTTGATTTTAGAATTTGAAAAAAAAAAAATTTGAATTAATTTGAAGAACTTGATTTTGATTTGAGTAAAAATTCTCAAACT